CTGTTGGACATTGCATGTATATGGATCGTGTCATTTGAATTTCTCCAGTATTATTATTTGCCAAGGTCACAGTGACAATCACTGTAAAGGCTGTTATGCTGCCCAAGCTGCTTCTACAGATTGCCCTTAAATCCTCCGGTTTGTAGCCACGGCTAACTTTTTGTTTTATTACAGTACAGAACGTCTGCAGTGCCCAGCATTCAAAGCTTTTAATTCTTACTCTTTTCAGGATTTCCTTACAGACTTGGTAATGTCTGAAGTGGACCGATGTGGGGAACATGATGTTCTCCTCTTCAGGGAAAACACTTTGGCAACCAAAGCAATTGAGGAGTATTTGAAGCTTGTTGGTCAGAAGTATCTCCATGATGCTTTAGGTAATTATTGACTGTGCTGAATTGGTTAATGGTTACTGACTGAGTCAAAGATGTCCAATGTAATGTTGTTATTAAGTGATGAGGAAAGTAACACTTTGAGATCTACAAGCTTTTGTTTTTAATGTTATATACTAAATATCTGAACAACTGTCTAATAATAATTCTATTACGGAAATACAGAACTAGCCAACTGGTCAACAGTATGAACTGTAACCGCTGAAGAATGCCAGATTTAACTGACATTTTTGTGTTTCATTTTGGTTTTTGCTGCATCTTTTGCAGGATTGTTAACTGTTCAATTCATTTAGAATATTGGCTGCTAGATGAATTTAATTCTGTCACTTTGTATGCCAATGGAAGTGGAACTGACTTATTCAGTATCTCAATGATACTTCAGTATCTATAATACTCAATGATGGTGAATGCAGAGGTCTATCAAGAGAGGAGTGTGAACCTGTTTGAAAACACATGGTGTCACTGTATTTATATTGATTGAAAATATATCATGTTGTCATCAATGTTGTCAACCATCTTCCCTTTAACTAGCTGAATTTTATTTTGTGTCTTGCCCATAAATATCTTACTCATCCTGCTTCTACCCTAATTCAGGAGAGTTCATAAAGGCACTATACGAATCAGATGAAAATTGTGAAGTGGACCAGAGTAAATGTTCATCCAGTGAGCTACCAGAACATCAGAGTAACCTCAAGATGTGTTGTGAACTGGCATTCTGCAAAATCATCAACTCCTACTGGTAAGGGGCAGTCTGTAGAGTAAACCTCAACTGAAAAGTAACCGTAATATTTTCAAAAAGCAGGTCTAATTTCTTTACCACGTGAGTATATGGGTGTCGTTCAGGTACCACCGTAATGAGGGATGCTATTCAATCTCTATGTACTATCTGCATAGTGAAGTATATGTATGGTGTAGCATGCTCCTCTATAACTGCAACTGATTCTTAAATGCTTTTCTTTCTCCCCTATAATCCTATCCATGTAGCAGTCCGCTATATGCTGGTCACTGTGTGAAGAAGGAAGTTTGTGATAAAATCCTAATTTTCCATTCAGCAGCTTGGACCTGTTCTCTTAACTTGTTTATTGTCTGTAAATGTGGGAAATATTAAGCCAAGCAGCATCTGTGGAGAGAGAAATAAAATTAATGTTTCAGGCCAATAGCGTTTCTTCAAAAGTGGAAAGATGTAGAGATTTAACAAGTTTCAAACAAGTACACACTGGTAGGGATGGGGGAAGCAAAAAGGAAAAGTAATGAGGTAGAAGACAGGAGAGATTAAATGACAGAAAAAAGCTGATGGTGCAAGACAAAAGGAGATGGTAACAAGTCAAATAATACATAAAGAGTAGGTGTAAAGATGATATCCTACGTCAACAACTGCTTGGAAAGTTGAGGTCAAAAGGCTCAGATCTGAAATTGTTGAACTCCATGTTGAGTCTGAAAAGCTGAGAGTGCATGTTTGAAAAATGAGGTATTGGTCCCTGAACTTCACTGAAACATTATAGAGGGCCAAGGACAGAGAGATCAGAATGGGATGGAAAATTAAAATGTTAGACAACCAGAAGTTCAGGGTAACACTGCAATCCAAATGGATGTGTTCAGCAAAGTGGTCACCCAATCTTCAACTGCTCAAATAGAAGAGACCATATCATGAGCAAAATATGAAATTGAAAGCAGCCCAAGTAAATCACTGTTTTACCTGAAAGTGGTTTGAGTGTTTGGATGGTGGCAAGCATCCTGTGCTTGTATAGGAAGGGTAGGTTGCAGGACTGGGGTGATTGAGGACTGGACTATAGAATTGCAGAAGAAATACTCCCAATGGAGCAAAAAGGGGAGGGTAACATGTGTTTGGTGACAAATACTGAAGGATGAACCAGTTGTTATGGGTTAACTCACCACAAGTTACCTTTAATTTGGCCACTTTAAAGTAATCTCACTGACAATTAAGTACTGAAACAATGATTTAACTTTATTACATGTAGTAACCAAAATAAGACCCCTCAAATTATCAAGTTCAGTCTGACAACTCAACTTGGCTATTACCCAATTTAATGGTGGAATCTGACCAGAATTCCAACAAACAGTGTCCATCTCTGGAAGAGTCCAGGCTTTGGTCCTTATACAGTGTTTTTCTTCAAAGTTCTGCTATTGAATTGTTCTGGTGTTGTACACTTATACAGTTTTCTCTCTTTCAAGTTTGTGGTGTGACATTATTAATGATCCAATAGATTCTTTTATCCCCAGCATTGATTACCCTTCTGGAGATACAAGTCTGTAGCTTGCCGGCTTATTAAAAGTAGCTCCCCGGTTCCTTGTTACGTTAGGAGTTAGCTGTCTGTTTAAAACACAGCTTTTCCTGCAATTAACCCCTTTACTTCAGTACATTACTTCTGCAGGCAGACTTATTTGCCCACTTGTCACGAGGCAGCAGATTATCAAGCAGTTGTTATCCACTCTCTCCCAGGAAACAGCTTGTTTATCTTGTTTCTTCTCGGGGATGGTTAAATCACACGTTTCTTTAAACTCCTCTATAACAGTTTTTCCTTGACTCTTGCATTGAGTCATACAGCACGGAAACAGACCCTTTATTCCAACCAGTCCATGCCAAACCTAATCCCAAACTAAACTAGTCTCATCTGCTTGCTCCTAGCTCATATCCCTCCAAACCTTTCCGAATCATGTATCTATCCAAATGTCTTTTAAACATTGTAATTGTACCTGCATCCACCACTTCTCAGGAAGTTCATTCCAATCATGAGCCACCTGCTATATAAAAAATTTGCCTGTTATGTCTTTTGAAATCTCTCTCCTCTCACCTTAAAAATGTGCTCCCTAGTCTTGAAATCCCCCATCCTAGGGAAATGACAAATACCATTAACTCCATTTATACCTCTTATTATTTTATAAACTTCTATCAGGTCACCTCTCAACCTGCTATGCTCCAGTGAAAAAGTCGCAGCCTATCCAGCCATTCTTTATAACTCAAACCTTCCCTACCCAGCAACATCCTGGTAAATCTCTTTTGAACCCTCTCCAGCTTAATAATATCCTTCCCATAACTGGGCGGCCAGAACTGGACACAATACTCCAGAAGAGGCCTCACCAGTGTCCTGTACAACCTCAACATGACTTCCCAATTCCTGTACTCAATGAGCAATGAAGGCAAGCGTGCCAAACGCCTTTTTAACCACCCTGTCTATATGTGACGCAAACTTTAAAGAATTATGTAGCTGCACCCTGGGTCCCTCTGTTTTACAACACTATCCAAGACCCTTCCATTAATTGTATAAGCCCTACCCGTGTTTACCATCTCGAGAAAGAGTTATTGCTGATTCTTTCAATCCATGAAGTTATTAAAGTTGTGAAGTTTATAATATCACACGTTGATTGTGTGGAAGATGAAGCAATATTTTGTGCTGTTTAAGATCATAAGAAATAGGAACAGGATTAGGCTGTTCAGCCCCTCAAGCCTGCACCACCACTCAATACTATCGTGGCTGATCTGACATTCTTCATGTCCACTTCCGTTTTCCACCCTTTTCCTTGTAACTCTTCATTTCCCTGCTGATTAAGAATCTGTTTATCTCTGCCTTAAATATACCGCAAGAACTCTATCCCCACAGCTTTATGTGGCAAGGAGTTCCAAAGAGACAACACCTTGAGAGGAGAAGTTCCTCCTTTTCTCAGTCTTAACTTGGTGCCCCTTTATTCCAAGACGATGTCCTCTGGTCTTAGGCACCGCCATGAGGGGAAACATTCTGTCAGCTTTACCCTGTCAAGTCCCTTGAGAATCCTATATGTTTCAGTGAGACCACCTGTCATTCTTTTAAACTCCAGTGAGTAGAGTCCCAACCTGTTTAACCTTTGCTTAAAAGACACTTCCTCCACATCAGGAACCCCAGAGATCACCTTCGTGAAATATCTTTTTTTTTGAAGGATTTTGGTTTGGCTATAATTTAGCTGTGTTGAATTTAGACCTCTTTCCAAGAATAACTAACTGCCATTTTTCTTCCAATAAGGTAAGAATTCTACAGATATCAGTGTTTTCCTGTGGGCACTGGATTTGTGATGTAGAACATAGAACAGTACAGCATAGTACAAGCCCTTCGGCGCACAATGTTGTGCCAGCCTGTTATCCTACTAAGATCAAACTACCCTGCATACCCTACATTATACTATCATCCATGTGCCTATCCAAGAGTCACTTAAAAGTCTCTAAAATATCTGACTCCACTACCACTGCCGGCAGCGCATTCCACACGCCCACCATGTTCTGTAAAGACCTACCTCTGACATTTACCCTGTACCTTCCTCCAATCACCTTAAAATTATACCCCCTCATAATAGTCATTTCCGAGTTGGGAAAAAGTCTCTAGCTATCCACTCTATCTATGCCTCTTATCATCTTGCATGCATCTATAAAGTCACCTCTCATCCTTCTTCGCTCCAATGAAAAAAGCCCTAGCTCCTTCAACCTTTCTTCATAAGACCTGCCCTCCAGTCCAGGCAGCATCCTGGTAAATGTCCTCTGCACCCTCCCTAAAGCTTCCACATCCTTCCTATAATGAGGCAACCAGAACTGAACACAATATTCCAAGTGTGGTCTAACCAGGGTTTTATAGAGCTGCAGCATAACCTTGCAGCTCTTAAACTCAATACCCCCGCCACTGAAAGCCAACACACCATACGCCTTCTTTACAACCCTATCATCTTGGGTAGCAACTTTGAGGGATCTATGGACGTGGACCCCAAGGTCCCTCTGTTCCTTCACACTGCCAAGAATCCTGCCATTAACCCTGTATTCTGCATTCAAAATCGACCTTCCAAAATGAATCACTTCACACTTTTCTGGGTTGAATTCCATCTGCCACTTCTTTGGCCAGCTCTGCATCCTGTCAATGTCCCATTGCAACCTACAACAGCCCTCCACGCTGTCCACAACTCCACCAACCTTCGTGGCATTGGCAAACTTACTAACCCACCCTTCCACTTCCTCATCAAAGTCATTTATAAAAATCACAAAGAGCAGTAGTCCCAGAACAGATCCCTGTGGAACACCACTAGTCACCGAGCTCCAGGCTGAATATTTTCCATGTTACTAGAATATGTTACTAGAAGATAAACTCAGTCAGGTCAAATTAGATACAGGAAAAGAAAATATAAACACTGCAAATCTGAAGTACAAACAAAAAAGTCAGTGAATATCTGAAGAAAGAATATTATTCAGTATTCTTGATGAGATACTTTTCCAGACCTGGCACAGCTCGAAATCCTTGAAGTCAGCCAATACAAAGAACAGAACTGTGAAGAAACAGAAACAATAAGTTATGATGAGATGAGTTCCATTTATTCACCAATCTGATCTAATGGAAATGTTGTGAACTGTGTGGACCACGATCTGGCTTGTCTATCACTATCTTTATTCTTTGGCTTTCTTTCTAGTGTATTTCCACGTGAGCTAAAAGAAGTTTTTGCCTCATGGAAACAGCAGTGTTTAAACCGTGGGAAACACGATATCAGTGAGCGCCTAATCAGTGCCTCACTTTTCCTGCGTTTCCTTTGCCCTGCCATTATGTCGCCCAGTCTGTTTGGCCTGATGCAGGAGTACCCAGATGATCGAACATCTCGCACGCTCACCCTCATCGCCAAAGTCATCCAGAATCTTGCCAATTTCACAAAGTACGTGATTTCTTTACCACTTACGCCGTGTCATTCTGTGTATTTATTTTTGTCTGTTTTTGCTTCTATACTCTGTGTAGTCGTTGACTAAAATGACAGCTGCAATGTACCAAATTCATTGTCTTAAATTCTAGAGCCTAAGTTGATACCAGAGAGTGAGTAATTTCACTGGGGGCATCAGATTGCTTACATATGACAAAATGGATATTGAAGGAATTGTTGTAATGATAAACTGAGGTTTATAAACTAAAGGTATGATTTTCTGATTGTTTGTACATAATTGATATTTCGTTTTAATATTGGAGTATAATTCATGCAGATCAAAGGAGAGATTGTTATGAACAAATGTTTGTCTTGCTTAGGTTTCAGAGGCTGTCACTTTATCCTGCGGGCTACACCAGCAACAAATACTTGAAACCTATCCGTCATATCTGTCAGACTGCATTTTTTGCTTTGATCTCTCCCATTGGTATTTGTAGGTTTGGGAATAAAGAGGAATACATGGCGTTTATGAATGATTTTCTGGAACACGAGTGGAGTGGGATGAAACGTTTTCTGGTTGAAATCTCAAACCCAGACACCATTTCTAACACACCAGGGTTTGAAGGATATATTGACCTTGGACGTGAGCTCTCTGTCCTGCATTCACTGCTCTGGGAGGTGGTGTCACAGCTTGACAAGGTATCTTTTAGTGTTTGAATTTTGAACCTTTTTTTAAGAGGTTAACCGGGCAAGAGAAAATATCAGTTATTAAAATCTGATGTTCTTATTTTTATAAAAGGAAGAAATTTTAGAATGTTGTTGAATCCACTGAAGTTGTTTTGAGATTGAACCATATTACTTCAGGATGTCAGGAAAATCCTTTGCATTGATATTATCAATTGATTGACAGAGAAAACAGATGAGTAGGTTAGATCGAGCAGAAATTTAGAAATCAGAAGTACTGTTTGAGAGACAGTGATAGCAAAGGATTGACCTTGAAATTAAGACCCAATCGCCCTGTCCTGGCAATAGTTGAAGGAGGGATTGCGTAAAAACAGAAGAGGAAGAAGAAGAAAAAAATGACTGGTTGAATACCATTGAGAATGAGCTGAGGAAGGCTTGAAGGAAGTCAAAGATGCAACAAATGCTGCTGTCAGTCCTACTAAGGCTGTGGTGAAAATGAATTAACCGTGTCAGATGGTGATGCTGTAATGTATGGGATTCAATAGAGTAGCATAGAATGCTGAAAGCCTAAATTGAGCTGCATATATATGAGGAGACACAGACCTGATTGTTTAGGGAACCAAAAATTGGAGATTTTCTATATCTTGGGAGAATTAGCAAACTTTGAGGGGTTTGTACTTCATCGTAAATAAAAATTTAAAATCCCACTAAATGTTTGCTTTCACATGTATGCAGAAAGCACCCAATTCTATCTCAACACACCTCTTCCAACTCCTATTGTTTAAATTATTATTGGTTTGCTTACCCAGCATCCAATGCTAGCTAAACCTTCTCCATTTAGGGTCATAGAGTTGTACAGCATGGAAACAGACCATTCGGTCCAACATGTCCATGCCAACCATATATCTTAAATAAATCTAGTCCCATTTGCCAACATTTGGGCCATATCCCTCTAAACCCTTCCTGTTCACATACCGATCCAGATGCCTTTTAAATGTTGTAATTGTACCAACCCCCACCACTTCCTCTGGCTGCTCATTCCATACACGCACCACCCTTTGCATGAAAAAGTTGCCCTTTTAGGTCCCTTTTAAATCTTTCCCCTCACACCTTAGACCTATGCCCTCCAGTTTTGGACTTCCCCACCCTGGGGAAAGGGCCTTGTCTATTTACCCTATTCATGTCCCTCCTGATTTTATAAACCTCTGTAAGGTCACCCCTTAGCCTCTCCCTATAGCTCAAATCCTTGAACCCTGGCAACATTCTCGTAAATCTTTTCTGAACTCTTTCAGGTTTCAGAAAAGCCTTCACTGTCTATACCCCTCCAGTTTTGGTGTTCACCTGAAAACTTACTAATCATACCTCCTATGTTCACATTCAAATCATTTATATAAATGACTAAAAGCACTGGACACAGCACCCATCCTTGTGGCACACTGTTGGCCACAGTTCTCCAGTCTGAAAAGCAATCCTCCACAACCACCCTCTGTCTATTACCTTCAAGCCAGCTCTGTATCCAAATAACTCGTTCTACATCTATACGATGTGACCTAACCTTGCTAACCAGTCTACCATAAGGAATCTTGTCGAGCGCCTTGCTGAAGTCCATATAGATCACATCCACCACTTTGCCGTCATCAATCCTCTTCATTACTACTTCAAAAAACTCAATCAAGTTTGTGAGACACAATTTCCCACTGACAAAGCCATGTTGACTATCCCTAATCAGTCCTTGCCTTTCCAAATACATGTAAATCCTGTCCCTTAGGACTCCCTGCAACCGCTTGCCTACCACAGATGTCAGGTCTGTAGATCCCTGGCTTTTCCTTGCCATCTTTTTTTAAATAGTGGCATCACATTAGCCGACCTCCAGTCTTCTGGCAGCTCACCTGTGGCTATCGCTGATACAAATAAATTAGGGAAGACTGAAGCCATTGGTTTTGCCTCCTGCTGCAAATTCTATTCCCTAACAACAGACTCCATCTTTCTTGCTATTAGCTCCCTGAGACTAAACTGTTTGCTACCTTGGTGTTATACTTGACTTTTGGGCTGAGCCTCCAACTACGTGTTCATGCAATCACTCAGACTGTTGCCCATTTTTTGCTCCTGTAATTTTGCCTTATGTTGCTTCATTCACAGTTGAAACTCTCATTTGTATTTGTTAGCTCTAGACTTGAATATTCATCATCCTCCTGGCTAACCTTTAGTATTTGATCCTCTTAAATCTTGAAACGACTCAAAATTCTGTTGCCTGCATCTTAAGTCAAATCATGTTTGCCTGTCACCCGTGTGCTTGCTGATCTATTTTTTAAATTCTTTTTCTGCTTTTTTGAATTCCTCCACATCTTCACCCCACTCTATCTTTGTAATCCCTGCCATCCCTCAACCTTTTGAGAGACCTTTTTTGTTTTTTTTTTAAATATCTGGCCTCTTGAGCATCCTGATCTTAGTTGATCCACCATTGGTGGCCTGGCCTTCAGTTGCCTAGGTGCTTTACTCTGGAATTCCTTCTTTACGCATCTCAAAATCTCAATCTCGCTTTCTTCCTTTGTAACGCTCAGTAAATTCTACCTCTTTGATCAAGCTTTTAGATCAACTGATCTCGTAAGTGGCTCAGTGTCATATTTTGTTTAGAATGCTCTCGTGAACTGGAAGTTCTGAAGAAGAGTCATATTGGACTCGAAATCTTGACTCGGTTTCTATCTCCATAGACGCTGCCAAACTTACTGAGTTTCTCCAGCATTCTCTGTTTGTTTCAGATTATAAAGATGCACAGTATTTTACCTTCATTCGTATGTTCATTTCTATGATTCTGCTGATATCAGGGACTTACCATTTTGCAGGTTCTGAGAATGCATGTCTGAGACAACAAAAAGCAAACATTTCCTTGTGCTAATCCCTCAGTGCTACACTTCCAGACACCTAATTGCTGTATCCATTATTAGCAATCAGTATAGACGGTGTGGTATGCTTCAGTGTGATGTTGAGAATGAAATCCAAAATGTCCATTGAATCGATAGATCATAATTTTTTGGTATATACAGCAAATGCTTATCAGTGTGGTACAGAATCTAGAACGGATCTCCCCTCCAGTGGCAGGCAGAACGTTCTTTTGTCATGCGTGGTACCAAGTAAAATCTGCAGTTTGTTCGGTATGATTTGGTTTGAGACAAGTGCACGGTTTTTTCACTTAAAACAATCAATTTCCATAATTTGCTTTAGAAGAGCAGGAAGGTTAAGGGCTTAAAATTTGTTTTCATTTTCCTGTGACACAGCGAAATTGTTGTAATTTATTTTTGAATTTAAAAATGAGTTCTTGCTTTCATAATGTTTTAAATGAGTAAATATAGCATATGTAATTGCTCGTATAGTGGCTAGAACGGCACTTGTTCATTGCTGCTCCGTGATCAGTTGGCTAATTTCTACTTGGAAGATTGAGGAATGTAAATGGCGTTTGGCTCCTTGGATGATAAGAGTGAATGATTGATTACTCATAATTGTAATCCAAGATGTACAAGAGACCGTCCAAGGCTAACAGAATCATTGTTCAACATGAGTTAGTGAGGATAGAAGATGATTCTGATTGTTTTGCTTGCTTCCAATACTAAGTTGATACACATTTTATATTCCCTTGGTGCCTTCTCACTGAAAGTACAGAACTTAACCGTAATAAAATTTATGGGTTGACTGTGTTTCATTGAAAGTTGCATTTGTGGTCAAATGTCCAAATAACTAATACTGTTGACTGTAAGAAGGTTAAATAGAGTTTCCTACTGTTTTGCCATATGTTACTGGTATAACAGAAGATGAACATTGAAGCAATAGTAAAATGATTCTGCATGCATGAACAGGTTGGCTCTACTGTCATTTTCAGCATCTAGCAATTTTCAAGTGAATCTTTCCCAACCATCTATCCGTCCTTGAGCCATGCTACCTTTCTCTTCAGTTTAGTTGCATTGTTTTGAGAAACCATTTAGATGTTTATTTTGCATGGTTTTGTATCTGAATGTTGTGGAACAGTTTAAAACCACATTAGTAACGTTAGTTTGGTTTCTAATTTATTTTGTATCCATTTCTGTCTCCTCCCCAACCTCAAACTCCCATTTATTTCCAACCTACCACTGTTCCATATTTGTTCCCTTCTTCATCATGGTTGTGTTGTTCTGCACTGCTGCATTCTGGCTCGCTCACATCAATCGCCATCCTCCACCCAATAAAATGTGGATGTTTCCGTGGTATTGTCCAACCAGGGTGAAAATTCATTTCTACAGGCAACAGTTGCGAAGCTTGGTCCACTCCCACGCATTCTCAGCGATATCACCAAATCACTAACTAGCCCTACACCAATTCAGCAGCAGGTCCGCCGATTTGGGGACCACATCAGCTCATCCCCAAATGTGAGTGGCAGTGTGTCATCAGGACTGCAACGGATATTTGAAGACCCCAGTGACAGGTAGGAATGGGTCATTTGCTGTCATATTTTCAATGTTGATCTCCGTACTGTCTTGCAGTGAACGCGGGACACATTAATGTACTTCGCATACGTATATTTCCTTGAACATCCACCACCATTCAGTATGCAAGGAAGAAATCACTCAAAATGATCAAATGTACTCTGCCATAACAAGGTGTAGAGCTGGATGAACACAGCAAGCCAAGCAGCATCAGAGGAGCAGGGAAGCTCTGTACTCTGTTCAAATGTACTCTGCCATTTGCCTCATCACATAAACAATAAACATGCGTCAAGGTCAGAAAAAATAACCAAGCATATAGTTTTGAATCAAGCAAGTGATTTCAATGCTTATAAGTGCCTACTTTACAAATCAGCCACATCTGGATTTCCAGTTAGCCACAAGGGACTAATATTTTGGACAGTACAGCACATGGACTCCACTGGGCATCTCATTACCATATGCTTAGAATGAGGAAGTGATGTCAATGATCTGAGAGCTGCCACTCTGGCACTGTTTTATTACTGATTCAAACATTGTATGGTTTGGCATTCATTCTTAAGCAAGACGCATGTCAATGCTGTATAGTTCCGGACCATTACCTTGCCATCTTGGATTTCACTCCTAGATCAGAGCAATTGTGGCTACGAGACGCAGTCAAGCTGCTCTCATGCATTCATCACTTCTGCTCCAATTAACCCAGTAGAAAGTGAGTTGCATCAGAATGAGAAATAAAATACTGCACAGCCACTGGTTGGGCAGCACCTTTGGAGAGATAAACACTGGGTTAGTGTTTCAGATTCATAAACTTTGATCAGAAATTTGGAGAAATGATAACAAGTGCCTTGGCCAGCATTGGATCCCATCAGTTAGACAATGCATAGCAATCACAAGAAGTGTGGAAAAACATACTCAAAGTATACGTAAATGGTCAACTCTTTTTTTCTCGTGTCAAGATAAGGTTTTGTCTATGTACAATGTTATAAAGAAAACAAAATGCTTTGTAATATCTTTTTGGAGAAAGAATAAAGTAACTGAATGTAATTACAGAATTAGTAATGAAACTAATGCCAAATTGCTTGTGGTGTGGTGTTCTCCCCACCGTGTAAGTTCAGTACTGCCTGAAGGCCTGTTACAGTTCAGAGGCAGACATAATTCTAGTGTCTCTTTCAACAAGAATTTATACCCTAGAATTTTGTGGTTCATTGGCAAAGTGAGCTGCCTTTTGATGTCGTTAGCATGGATTCTCCCTTTCCCATGTCAGTTTGAATCTGCCATCGGGTCGAGGTGAATCTCCAAGTGCCTATCAACAGTTACGTAAGCAGGGCAAGCTGTCAGTCACACTGAAGTATCCTCGCAGATTGCAAACTAGGCAATGATTAACTCACTTTTATTGAAATCTTACAGAAAGCAAAATAAATGATTGAGGCAGCTCATAGGATTGATAGCTGAATCATCACAAAGAAACTTGTAAAAAAAATTAATAATCCAATATTTTATCATTGTGGAGCAATTTGGTATTAGTGAGGATATTCTACAGTAATTATGAACCTAGTATGCCACTAAAAATCTAATTACACTTCATTCAAAGAAGTAAACATTCTCCAGGGCTTTAAAATGAGACTAAAGACATAAAGGGGCAAGTTCACATTAGCCAAGTGGTTTCTATTTGTTTGAAGTCTGTATATGATTTTAACTGTAGAGAAATGTAGAATCATTCAGAGTAGCTTGTGGATTTCCGTTTTACGCACGTGTGGACTCCAGAATTTGCTGTTCATTTCAGAGACATAACGAAGGAAAAAGCTGACATTTTCGCATTGCTACTATCAAATTTTGGCCAATCAATTCACAATACATTGAAAGAAAATTGGGGAATTTTCTGGGACCATTTCTGCTTAAATTAATGTGGCACAAGATGGTGTTGCAGTCATCCCATTTATATAGCTTGTCAGTGATTTCTGTTGGACAACACCACCGTGGAAAAGCTAACTCACTCAGCGCATCACTGTGTGTCTCTTCTCAGCTCTCAATGACCTTCTGAATGGCAGACCCTAGAGTAGAGGCAGCTGTTCTACTTGCTTGGCTGTGAAAACAGCCAAGTTTATGAAACAGGACAACTGTTTGGCACCAAGAAATGACTGACACTGTCTGGTCTGAGGGGGTAGAGATTGGGGACCGAATTTAACTGTAAATAAAAAGCGAGAGTGGGAATGTTTTTTAATCAGCATTGTGCACAAAAATATTATTGTTTTTATTTTCAGTGATGTGCAGAAACTGCAGTCTCCAACTCAAGAGAATGTTGAAGCATTTCTCCACACCAAGCAGCACTTTCCAAGCCAACCGACCTCAACACAAAGCATGACTTACTCTGACAGGGATGAAGACGAATCCATTCTACATAATGGCAGGAGTGTATCACTTGTGGATCTGCAGAACACTGCAGTGACTCAAGGGACAAGTAGCGTTCCAGTTCTTTCTACTGTATCTGGGCAACATACTGGCAGCCAGGCCTTAAGTACCCATAATGCAAACATCAAGCAACTCCAAGACGTACAGAGAGGGGCACACAGTGTTCCTCAGATCCGCCGGCCTCTACATCCAGCTCTGACCCAGCAGAGCAGCCTGCAACCTCTGTCTTTCCAAAACCCCGTCTATCAGCTAAACAATCCACCAGTCGGAAGCAGTAAAGCTGGCATGGACTCTAGTTCAGAGAACCTAAGCTCAACAAGCTCCCGGAGCCACACCAATAGTGAGGAGCTAATCAGCAAACTGAGTGGCCCCAGTAATAGCAGCATAGAGGACTTTGCTAAACGCAGTGCATACAGTGATGATTACTCCAAGCGAAACACCATGCCAGACAGGAGCAATCTTCCAGTGGCACTACCTCGACAGAATAGCATTGGGCATTCACAGCTCCGCAGGACAGAGCTGTCAGCTCACAACAGCCGAGTGAAAGCACCTCATTCATTACCACTTAGTGGATCGCAGAGAAGTGCAGGTAGCATGTCAGGATTACCATCTACATCACCTGAGCCACCACAAACTGAAAACAGGTCACGGCAACCATCAACCTCATCAAAAGGGGAAAGTCCTGTGCCAAAAGTACGAGCAATACATAGACAGCAGCAGTCGCAACAGGTGAGGAATCCTTTCCAGGCATCATGTAATGCGGCAGCTATGCAATACATTATTAGATGGTTGTTTATTCTATATCTACCAGTTTCTCTCCAATCTAGAGATTGTGGCGAACTCAACTCATGTAGAGTGCAGGACCGGAGTTCTTGATTGATTGCAGGGGTCCTATTTTAGTCAGTCTGGCCCAGCTTCCATCTTGTTCATAATGGTGTACACCCCAGACTTCTAACATGATGCTAAATATGAACATTTAATCCAGATGTGGAAGTAGAAAAGGCCCCCTGCTGCTGTGACGGGTATTGTGATACAGTGGAAGGAATTTTATTTGCATTTAACCCACACTGTACTATGTTAATGTAAAAGAGAGATTATTCCTTCCTGATGCAGGCACCTGGATTCTTAACTGGTCACAAAATTTCCCCATCTCCCAAATTTTATTTAAACATATCATTCAATGTATAAAGCCGCATAGATACAGCATTGCTCTTGTAATTTTAATGTTCACTTTTGTTAGCAATTTTCCATACACCATGGGGAGATGAACATCGATCTCCCGTTAGGAATTTTCATACTGATATTGTTTGTTCTTTTTAAAAAGTGCACTGAAGTTGCACAGATCCTTGTAACCTGTATGCTGGCCATCACAGATTTGTGGAATTTTCCATACAGTTGCTATATTTCTTTGGTATATTCACTTCATCTGCAATCAGTATACAATCCCTGTGAAAAGAGTAGCGCTGAGGGAGAAAGTATGCTCACTCCAGTGCTTACTGCTGTTGATCTTGGTGGTTACTTTCTAGAAACATTTATGTTAGTTATCTGATTCTAATCAATGAAGGTCCAGTCACCAGTGGAGACTGCTACCATGTCACCAGTTGAGAGAACAGCTGCTTGGGTTCTAAATAATGGACAATATTTGGAAGATGATGAAACAGAACAAATCCGTGAGGAGAATAAACATGCAGAGAGGGTAGGTAAAATGCCTTACTTCTCCCCTATTAGAGTCTGTTGTGAAGGCCACTACTTACTCAGCTAAAGTGAACGTTGTGCAACTATGAGTGAGAGAAGTAAACTGTTTAATGAGGAAAATTAAAAACTATGTTCATTCTAGCACAGGGATCTGAAGTTTAGTAATAAATCTTTCCAATAAGTAGAATGTGCTTTTCTAAAATATGAATGATTTTAATTTGTTACTTGTGAATTGCATCCGCTGCCTGTGACAGATCTGTAAGCACCAGTCTTTTACATTGTACTGAATAGATCAAAACTCTGCCAACAGAGGCAACACCAGTTAGTAGCAGAAAATCTGGATTTATATTATTGTACATTTTTCACAGTAGTGAAAATAGACACAGTATGAAAATGTTACACACTTACTATATATAGTCTGAAATCCCTAGGGGGAGGAAATGGTGACATTAAAATTTCATGTCCCCTTTAGTTAATAAAATTCTGATGACAATATTGCATAAAGTTTTTTTTATGTTCTCTATGATCTAAGCAATATGCTGATGCAAGTTTGCTGCATTTGAATGTGCACATTTTATTTTGAGACAAGTATTGCTCTTTTGTGTTACAATCCACAGTCAGAACTGCAGTGTTAAATGGTTACCATAACCAGCAAGTGTTTAGGGCCGATTGGGAAAACAGAAGTGAACCATAAATGTAGAGATTGACTGTACACTGCATTGGTGCAGTCTTGCTATGCGGAGAACATTTGCAAGATAAATACCACAGAATGATAGGGTGTTTTTTTTTTAAATTCAAGTAAGAATACATAATTACATTAATGTAGGACCTTGATTTAAGTCCAAATTTGCCCAAGGTTTTGATTTTTGTCAGTTTAACGTGAATTTAGAAGCTTTTCTTTAACAGTATTGATTCCAATTTTGGCAATTCCACTACATATGTTGATAATTTGCAGCATTCAAATCAAATAGAGGTATCTTAGAAAAGATTTTTAAAGGCAAGCAATCTACATCGTCAGACAGTTAGTTCAAGCATAACCGCATAGTATTTCATTAAGTTCTGCTGCAGGGAAGATGTTTTGATTTATTACCTGGGTTCAGAACTACCCTAAATAGAGCATCAGCACTGCAAGAGAGGTCAGAGGTCAGTTTAGTGGCCACTAGTAAGGAGAAGATGCTGGGGAATCTGCAAAGTCTGAATGTAGATAAATTGCCTGAACCAAATGGACTACATCCCAGAGTTCTGAAGGAGATAGCTGAGCAGATTGTGGAGGCTTTGGTGATCTTTCAGGAATCACTGAAGTCAGGGTGGGTCCCAGAGGACTGGAAAATGGCTAATGTAACACCCCTTCTTAAGAAGGGATGGAGGCAGAAGGCAAGAAATTGTAGACTGATTAGTTTGACCTGAGTCATTGGTAAGATTTTAAAGTCCATTGTTAAGAATGAGATTGTGGAGTACTTGGAAGTGCATGGTAAAATAGGGCTGAGTCAGCACAGCTTTGTTATTGGGAAGGTCATGCCTAATAAATCTGTTAGAATTCTTTGAGGAAGTAATGAAGAAATTAGACGGAAGAGAGCCAGTAATGTGATCTATTTGAATTTCCGGAAGGCCTTTGACAAGGTGCCTCAGACGAGGTTGCTAACTAAAATAAGAGCCCATGGTGTTAGGTGCATGATACCCATGGATAGAGAATTAGCTGAATGGCAGAAGGTAGAGAGTGCGGATGAAGGGGTCTAGTGACTAACGGAGTTCCACATGGGTCAGTGTTGGGACCACAACTAGTCACTTATACAATCTGGATGAAAGAACTGAGGGCATTTCGGGGGAGGTGATGGCCTAGTAGTATTATCGCTGGACTGTTAATCCGGAGACCCAGATAATTTTCTGGGGACCTGGGTTCAAATCCCACCACAGCAGATGGTAGAATTTGAATTGAATAAATATTTAATGATGACCATGAATCCATTGTCGATTGTCGGAAAAACCCATCTGATTCATTGATGTCCTTTAGGGAAGGAAACTGCTGTCCTTACCTTCTCGATTTGGGAAGATCCCGTTTGATTGAAACATAGGAAATGTAACTCCTGTGTTCAAAGTGGGAGGGGTACAGAAGGTGAGAAATATCTGTCAAGGAAAAATTGTTAAAAATTTTTACCTGCAGTGCTAGGGCTGATAACGGGTTTGTTATTCCGTTCGCATGTTGATTTGTACACAAGTCAGAACACAATACAGGACAATACAAAATAGCTGCTCGTAAGTATGAGGAAATGTTCACATGTCAGATGTTTAAAGGGAAGCTGTTGAATGTATTGTACTTGGATTTACAGAAGGCATTTGATTAAGAGCTACATCGAAGGTGGTCACAGAAAATGCTGGCACATGCTGCAGGGGTTTGTTCATTGATATGGATAGCAGATTGGCTGGCTATCGGGAAACAGAAAGGAGAAGTAAATTGGTCTTTTCGTTAGCAAGACGTAAACAAGCAATGTGCCATAAGGATGAGTGCCGGAAACCCAATATTTTATAATTTGTATAAATGACTTGGGTAAAGGGACAGAAGTATGATTACCAAATTTGGCGATGGCAAAACATAAATGATAAGGAAGATAGAAAGTAAGTTGTGAAAAATGACATAAGGAAACTACAAAAGTGTAAAAATCTGGCAAATGGAGTACTATGTGGAAAAATATGAAATAGTCCATTTTGGTAGGGAGAATAGAAAAGAAGCATACTACCTTATCTAAATGGGGGGAGATTGCAGAGCCAGAGATACAGAAAGATCTTGGTGTCCTTGTGCATGAATCACAAAAGTCTAGTTTGCAGGTACAGGAAGTAATTAGGAAAACTAATTAAATGTATCATTTATTACAAGGGGAATTGAATTCAGAAGTAGGGAGGATATGCTTAGTTATATCGGGTATTGATGAGAGCCTATCTGGAGTTAAGGGTAAAGTATTGGTCATCTTAATTAAAGAAGAATGTAAATGTATAGGAAACAGTTCAGAGGTTTACCAAAGTAATACATGAAAAGATGGGTTGCCTTATGAGGAAGGGTTGGTCAAGCTAGGTTTGTAACTGTTGGAGCTTAGAAGTGTAAGAACCGACTTGATTGACACATCTAAGATCCCTCACCCCCATCCCAGGCCCCAAGAAGACTTTCCACATCAAGCAGATGTTCACCTGCACATCTGCCAATGTGGTATACTGCATCCGCTGTACCCGGTGTGGCTCCCTCTACATTGGGGAAACCAAGCGGAGGCTCGGGGACCGCTTTGCAGAACACCTACGCTCGGTTCGCAATAAACAACTGCACCTCCCAGTCGCGAACCATTTCAACTCCCCCTCCCATTCCTCAGACGACATGTCCATCCTGGGCCTCCTGCAGTGCCACAACGATGCCACCCGAAGGTTGCAGGAACAGCAACTCATATTCCGCTTGGGAACCCTGCAGCCCAATGGTATCAATGTGGATTTCACAAGTTTCAAAATCTCCCCTCCCGCTACCGCATCCCAAAACCAGTCCAGCTCGTCCCTGCCTCCCTAACCTGTTCTTCCTCCCACCTCAAGCCACACCTCCATCTCCTACCGACCAACCTCATCCCGCCCCCTTGACCTGTCCGTCCTCCCTGGACTGACCTATCCCCTTCCTAACTCCCCACCTACACTCACCTTTACTGGCCCCATCCCTGCCTCTTCGACCTGTTTGTTTCCTCTCCACCTATCCTCTCCTCTATCCATCTTCTATCCGCCTCCCACTCTCTCCCTATTTATTTCAGAACCCCCTTCCCCTCCCCCTTTTCTGATGAAGGGTCTAGGCCTGAAACGTCAGCCTCTCTGCTCCTATGATGCTGCTTGGCCTGCTGTGTTCATCCAGCCCTGCACCTTGTTGTCTCACATCTAAGATCTAAGTGGTTTTCACAGGGTAGATGTGGAAGGAATGTTTCCTGTACGGGAGAATCGAGAACTAGGGGTCACTGCTTAAAAGTAAGGGGTTGCCAATTGGAAAGAGAAGTGAAGCAAAAAAAATCTGGTTGGAGAGCCTTTGGAACTGTCTTCCCCCAAAAGACAGTGGAGGAAGGTTCTTTGAATATTTTTAAGGCAGTGGTGGATAGATTCTTGGTCAGCAAGGGAGTGAAAGGTTATCAGAAATAGATAGAAATGTGGCTTTGTAGTTACAATTAGATCAGTCATCATCTTACTAAAAGGTCGAGCAGGCTCGAGAGGCTGAATGACTTACTCCTGCTCCTCGTTTGTATGTGAAATAACTATCTAGATTGATGGCATTCCATACTAGTATTTGTTTTGTCCCTTTTGAGAAATGGTATAAAAAACTGCATTTTTGGTGCCTTCTGTTGAGATGATTCTCACTGGTTTCCCTGACAGTATGAGCAAGAGATCGCGAAGCTAAAGGATCGATTGAAGGTGTCAAGTCGGAGACTGGAGGAATATGAGCGCCGCTTACTCGCCCAGGAGCAGCAGATGCAGAAGCTCCTGCTTGAGTACAAGTCCAGGCTGGAAGATAGTGAAGAGAGGCTTAGGAGGCAGCAAGAGGAGAAAGATAGCCAGATGAAAACTATCATCAGCAGGTAAGCAATACTGTAAGTTGTCAGAGAAACAAGGCCTCATCCAATTCAAATGTCAAAAAAATACTTCGCTAGGTCCTGTGCAATAACTCAAAAAAATCTTCTGGGGACCCGTGTTCGAATCCCGCCATGGCACGTGGTAGAATTTGAATTTAATAAATATCTGGAATTAAGAATCTAATGATGACCATAAATCCATTGCCAATTGTCAAGAAAAACCCATCTGGTTCACTAATGTCCTTCAGGGAAGGAAACTGCCATCCTTACCTGGTCTGACTCACATGTGACTCCAGACGCACAGCAATGTGGTTGACTCTTGACTGCTCTCTGGGCAGTTAAGGATGGCCAATAAATGCTGGCCTAGCCAGCTACGCCCTCATACCATGAATGAATAAAGAAAAAAAAATCAAGTCAAAATTCAGCCTTATATAATGACTTGGGGCACACAATATTGTTGTCATGTTCAAATGTAAACACAACAGCAATGAAGGAATCTGTGATGATAAACTTAATTCCTCAGAAACCTAAGTTATTACTGTTCATCTTATGTCTGTACTTCTGACTGGATAGTCACCCTTTCAAGGGATGCAACTCTTATCCTCACTTACTCTCAACTGGCAAATTACTGGTGCAGATCATAAATTTGATGTGCTGCAGTGACATTATGCTAACTCTCTGTAGAGCAGTCCATTCAGTCTCAATATATCCTGCAAGAGTACAAGAACACTCCTGCTGGAGTGTTCATCAATTTCCTTTTGAAATAATCAATCATATCCATCATCATTGGCAGAGAGTTCAAGGTGATTACCACTCACTGTGTGAAAAACGTTCTTTCTCGCATTACTGTGCTTCTTGCCCAGGTGCTGACTCTGCAGAGATAGGTTCAGTTGATCACCTGATCTTGTACATCAAACTCGAGGGATAGGATGTTCTGCGTGTGGAAGACAAGAGACTTAACTGCACAGGGGAAGAAGAATTGAAACAAACAATTCACCCTGGTCACACTTCCAATAGTGAGATTAAAGCAGCTTCAATGAACAGTGTTCAGCTCCTGGCTGACATTTTTGGAGCAACTTGGAACTGAAAGGAATACCATTGTCACTATTGGTGATATGTATCCTGTTGTAAGTGGCTGCTTCTTTCTTCGAAGTGCAGCTTGCTGCTAGGATTTGGTTATCATACTTTATGCCTTTTTTTTTAATTGTTTACAGATTGATGGCAGTGGAAGAAGAGCTGAAGAAAGACCACTCAGAAATGCAGGCAGTGATTGATGCAAAACAGAAGATTATTGAAGCCCAGGTAAGTGTCAGTGCTTGGTTTTCTGATTTGTTTGTGAAGGTTTCAACTTCCTTTTATCACATTTGGTTGAATGATCAGATTAAAAGCAAAGATTTTGTAAATTTTGATTTAAAGGGGGGCCTGGTCAGATTTTCAACAAACTTTTGTTTTAGTCAGTTGTTGAGAGTAGAGAGAATCTATGGCAAGTTTAAATAATTGCTTTCGAAAACTGATGATTACTAAATAAAAAGGCTACCTTCTGAGAATTAATGCTTTGTCAACAGAACTGATTGCTCCCGATAGGATGGCAGTGATTCAAGAAGGCAACTCACCATCACCTCCTCCAGGCAATTACTGATGAACAATAAATTCTGGCCTAGGTAGTGATGCTCATTTGCTGTGCGTTATGACTGAGGTTGGAGGGTGCAGTGCTTCTTCTTCTAGCCACTCCTCCAATGGTCACAACAATTTCTTAATTTAGCCAGATTGGTGATAGGATTTAACTAGATTCACTGTCAAGAACACGTGAAACAGATTTCTTTAGTCAACAACAAATAATTTGTCTATTACAAAAACAAACCTACACAAGCAAAGATCCAAATGTTATTGGCCAATGGGTTGGACTTCACAAATATATATATAATCACCTAAAAAGCTAATGCATACAGGTTTGATGAAAAACAAAATGAAAAAGCTCCGCACTGTTAATTATGAAGTACTTTGGTCAAATAATAGTTATGCTCATTATAAAATTTTAAGTCACAGATTGTCCCAAATTGTTTCTTATTCTGAAGGTATTCTGTACTCAAGCCGCTGGCACTGGGGTGTCTTCCTGGAACAGTTATAATTGGCTAAATTTAATCTGCTTCAAATGATGGGGTAGATTCAAGAAAATTCTCTCCAGGGATTCTCCCCTATTGGTAAAGGTGGCTTTCAGTCAGTTTTCAGATTGCACACTATTCTGCGAAGATTTGCGAAGAGAGAAAGAGGAAGCAACAGGGTGTTGCCTCTCGGGCAAGTGTCAAGTTCTCTGTTCAGTTCAGAAACCCAGTTCAGAATATAATAGTGTTATGCTAACCAAAATCTGAGCCATGTGACCACTCTCTGAAAGTTCTCCAGGTTGTATTCCTATCTGAGTTCAGGGGTTTCTTGCAGGCACAACATGTTGTGGTTCGACTCAGTGCCTTTTTTTAGCAAAGCACTGCTTGTTTAAAGATTCAAGATGTATTCATACAGGGCCATATAATCTTGTAAGAATAATATTTAGGTCAAATCTCTTCATGAAAGAATTTTAAGCAAGTATCATTGGACAACATAATCAGCCTTGCTTAGTTGTCATATTTGCCAAAAATGTACAGTCAGTTGAAAAGAATGGTCATTTCAGTAAGCCACTGGCCAGTGGGAAGATACTTTTGAGGAAGAGAGGAATTTGATTTTGACAGAATAACTATCTCACAATTTCTTGCTGGAGTGAAAAAGCAGTCTTAAAGAGGGTGTATATAATCGTGAACCCAATCCAAATTGCATTTAGATAGTTTTTTGAGAGTAGTAAAATGCCCCAAGCTACATCACAAGAATGTTATAAAATGAAATACGGCCAAAACCACACAAGGAAATCCTGAGGGTACATGAGAGTTTTTAAAGACTGTTCTCAAGGAAAAGAGAGCGGTTTAGGGAAGGAATTCTAGAACCTAGGGCTGCACTGACTGAGAAAAATCTGCCAATGTAGAGTGAGTAAAACTAAGCATGCATAAGAGGTCAGAACTGGAGCATTCTAGAGATCTCTGCAGGTTGTCAGTGATTCCAGAGTTTGAGATAAGGAGGCCTTTGGGGGATTTGTAAACAAGGATTTGAATTTGAAAATAGAGATGATGCCCACCCAGGAACCAGTGGTCAGCAAGCAATGGACTAGTATATGTACAGGACATGGAGCATGTTAGCTTACAAGCAATAGAATTTTGGACGAGTTTAAGTTTATAGAAGGTGGAAGATGAGTGGCCAGCCTGGAGATTTTTGGAATATTCAAGTCTAGAGGTAATGACGGCTTGGATGACAGTTCAGCCCAGACAGGGCAGAGTTTGGCATTGTTATGAAGTTGGAAGTAAGCAGTCTTCCACCCTTCATAACCTATGCACAGCAAAATTTGGAATGAACTTATCATAATTCAAACCAAGTCTCACTTGCCTGTCACTTCAGTGCAGTGGCTGTCAGTTGAGTCCATTTTGAAACTCAGCTCTTTATTTTCTACTCCCTCCATGTCCTTGCCCTTCCTTACCTCTGTAACCTCTATGGGGATTGCTGTGCTCTTCCAATTCTGTCTCTTTTAAATCTCCAATTTTAATGACTCCATCATTGGCAGCTGTGCCTTCAGCTACTGTGACCCTGAGATCTGGAACTCTCCACCAAACGTTTCTGTTGCTTAACCTTACTTTCCTCCTTAGGTTTAGAATTTAAGGTACATCCTATCACCTGTCCTGGTATTTCCTTATGTGGCTTGATGCTGGGTTTTGTTTGACAAAACTTCTGAGGTCTTGGAGAGTCTTGGTGCAATACAAGTGCACATTTTGTTGTTGGATTTAATGCACATGTATCCTTCTATATATTGCTTTCCACTCAAGTGGAAAATGCTGGATATTTAACTTTGTTCAAATCCATTTTCTTTTCCTCTTCATCTGACCCATACAAAGGCATTGTCCCATAAAGCTCAGTTTTGGATCACAATGTCACCTAAGATTGTATGTGATCTGGTTGGGGCTCAGACAGTTGTCAGGAAGAGGCATGGAGTTATCTCAGGAACAGAGTGGATGGTAGTTCAAAAACCTTACCAGTACTTACCCAGGTACAATAAATAATTTGCATCTGGTGCAGTTTTATGATAAAACTGTACAATTCCAGTAGGCTTAGTTTATTAAATTGCTATGTTACACACATACTGCTTAAATCTTAACATTTAACCACACCATGCATTGAACTGTTTTTTTAAAAAACCCAGAAATGATACCTTCTGTTCATGTTTTAAAGTGTGGCAGACAGTCTCCACAATTTTGAATAAATCACTGAAAAATGAAAGTACCTGCATTAAAAAGGAAACATGAAAGTCTTAAATATTTAAACATCCAAAGATGTACAAATTAGGTGGATTGGCCATGTTAAATTGCACATAGTGTCCAGGGATGTGTAGGTTGGGTGGATTAGCCAAGGGATATGCATTTACAGGGATAGGGTAGAGATTGAGTCTGGGTGGGATGCTCTTGGGAGGGATGGTGTTGACTCGATGGGCCGAATGGCCTGCTTTCACACAGTAGGGATTATGTGATATATTTGAACATAAAAGAAATAGAAGATTAAATGATATATTCAGTTTTTCACCCAGACATGGTGCAATTGATGTGTCCCACACCTGGAAAGTGAGAATACCTGAGGCTAATTTAGGTTATAACTCAGATTTTTGTCCATTCCTAAGAGGCAATCAAATATGCTCTGAATGCCTGCAGCAGTTGGTATCAAATGTTACAACTACCTTTGCACTCAGTCTATTCCAGCTATCCTTTGAAACATGGTACTGAGTCCATAAATAAGCACTAGGGCTTTAATCCATCTCAGGGAGATGACGGAAGAAAGCAAACTAAAGTACAGCTGATGGATCCCTCTTAAAAATTAATATTAATCAGTCTGTGGAAAAGTGTGTGGTCCAGGTTTTAGTATACATTTTAGATGCCATGTTTATGTTCATATTAAAATGTGAAAAATGATTTTTTCTGTTAGTTTTGTTCTTTTTATTTCACCATGTTTTGCATTTTATAAACGCCTCACTTTTTGATTGACCATCCATTGTTTTAATATCCTCTTGTTTTCCAATTGGTTTATCTCTGTTAACTTTTTAACAATTACCTTAATTCCTCATTGTTGTGATGAGAACAAAAGTCTTCAGCCCAGGAACACTGAACCACAACGGGATTCCAGAAAAGATAGATAGATAGGGAAATGCAAAATTAGAATATCTGACCTATGTACTAAAATAGTAGTCAACAGCTAACGACAGTGATGAGACATGGGGGATGCAGAGAAAAATTTAATTATTGTCATAGCTGGTCAGTGGTAATTTATGAATAATTGGTCTTACGAGCTTATTTCTTTCTGATGCTTTCTTATTATCCTTTATAAAATTCTCTTGCTATCTTATGTACATTTTTCTGGATTAATTCTCTTGTTCACTTAACTTTCTCTATCTCTGTTTCTATAATTTTGTTCCCACCTCATTTCCTGCTCCCTCTGATTTAACTTACCACTCTCTATTTTGATTTGTTTCATGTCCTTTTCTCTCTCCTATTTACTTCCTCTCAACCTTTCTCCCCCCCCAATGCTTTTCTTCTCATCTCTTCCTTTTCTCCCGTCTCCAATAATCCTTCTTTCCCTCAGTAGCCCAGAGTAGAATTGGCATAGTTGTTTAGGTGAGCTAAGATTTAAACCCTGGGCTCTCTGACTGGACGTAAGGGTCACATAGGAACTGTGTATATATTGCCACAGCCATCCTAGTTTAGTATTTGGAATATATGATAATTACAGTTATACTACCTTTGGCTACCATGATTTTTGTTTTGGTAGCCAATTGTGTACTATAATGTGAAGATATGCTTTATTCCCTTAATTTTGTATTTATCACAAAAGAAACATGTCTCTTCAAAAAAGTAGCCAAGGTTGCCGAATATTGCCCGTGACATGTTCACTGTATTGATTACAGGTCAATTTTGAGGATGGGATGAGCACAACAGGCAAGTAAGATTCAATTTCCTAGCAAAGCAGTTCATAGAGATGAGAAAAGCCACTGGTCCCTCCCCGCTGTCTCCAGCTAGCATTGTGCAGGCTTGTTGTTGCACGTTCTGACTGCGTAATTTCTTTTTTGTTTGCCCCCGCTGCAAACATCAACATCACTTTTTAAAAGATAAATATAACATTGAAATTTTCAAGGTGTAGAATTAAGAACACTGCATGATAACTAGTTGAATAATGAGCACCAAGAAATGCTCCACACTGTACAGTGATATTACTGAAATGGAAAATCTTTAGAGCTGTGCTAAACCCACAAAAACTTTGAAAAGAAATGTACAACTTTTCCTGTCAATTTTCCTGTCCATTTCTACTTTCTTTGTCTGTCTTCAGAAAGCAGTGGCTCAAGTTGCAGTGACATTGCCTGGGTGCTGGCAACATCTCCACAACGTGGACATTAGTTACCCAGGTAGAGTTCAGTGAGGGCAGTGTTGAGTTCAGTTTTGGGAGAATATGACAGCCAAGCTGACTGACATGTAATTAAGCACTTTCAAGTAGTGCCCTTTGCTAGCCATGAGGAATGGTGACTATGGGATAGAAAAGGTAAGATGCCCACAGAGCATCAAATTCAGGACAATTCTTACCGACAGGGCTCAATTCCACATCACACTATGCATTTGTCTGCCGAATCAATTAGGGACTTTCGCTAATTTCATAGGAAAAATTTAAGTTCTATCTGGAATTAGTAGAGCATCAAATTTCAACTTCATATATGTTTAATTTCCTCTGAATGAAATGAGTAGTACAAAAATCTATAATAACTCCAATGTTTCATTACTCTTGCAAAAACTTATCACTGAAGCCTCGAGGTTCAATCCCAGAGTTCTTATTGAGTCAGCTGTTTTCAGCCAGGGTTGGCAGTGAAAGCACCAAGTTCCGTCTCAGAAATTAAAGTTTTTGTAAGAACAGATCCTAATAGCTATTCAGTGCCACCTACTGGTTCTAATTAATTTTAATTTCTGTTCAGTCAGATAACTTGCCAACTGACTGTGCCATGAGGATAAATATAGAAAATTCAAGTTAAAATAAAAGTTAATTTTCTGCCAAATAGATTTTAATAAGGATATTTTTAATGAACTGAACTGCTTTTAAAAAGTTGTCCTTTTCAAGCGGATTCATCTGTGAATTATATGATATGCTCGGTAGTGAGGTCTGATTCAACAAGAACAGCTGAACTTTTTTTTTCTTGTCTACTAAGAGAAAGCTGATTACATTGGGCAAAGGAATTCTGAACAAATAGCATTTCATTGCATATGGAGGGGTCCTTTCCACTTTAGGGAAGAGAATCTCCTTTGGTCATTGTTTCACTCTTCTTGCTGCCATTTATTATATTCTAAGCTTTTCCAAATTAGCCATCACCTTTTCCTTTGACCCCCACATCAGCCATATGCTCGTAAAGCTGCGACCATTATCACTCAAATCCAATTTCTCTCAATCTGCTGTGCAAATAAAATTTTGTGTCAGTTCAGCCACATGAATCGCAAGGATAAGATATCTGTCTTTACATTTTCTATCTTTGGAAGTATTGCAAAGATTATAATAAGGCATATTCTAAAGGAAGATTGTTTGACTTGGGTTTAAACTGGAGTCTGCTGTGCTTCTGCTTGTACAAATGAAACTTGACTGCAAAAATAACTGTTGCACAGTTGGGATGGAGTTGGGCCAGAGATCTTTAAAGGCCTTTACTAGACTCCAGCTTGGCTGCTTCCCACCTCCTTTCTCAGTGTGTTGTGTCCTTACCCTGCTGATAATCTTAGGCAATGATTTAGCTATTTGTTTTATATTCATATTATTAAAAACTATTCATGCGAAGTATTGTCAAGAGGAATTCGACCCTATCACTCAGCATCCCATTCCTGACTTGCTTTGCTTTTCTCTCAGGAGAAACGAATCACCTCCCTGGACTCTGCCAACTCTCGGCTGATGAATGCTCTAACACAGGTCAAGGAACGTTACAGCATGCAAACTCGGAACGGGATCTCTCCCACAAATCCCACCAAACTGTCAATAACAGAGAACGGGGAGTTCAAGAACAGCAGCTGTTGAGTGGGAGTCCGAATGTTTCTGACCAGACGCACATGGACTGAGTTTTCTGAATTCACTCTTGAGGAGTTGTTTACAGGTGCTGCTAGGACATTTTTCATGCTTCAGATCATGAGAGATTATTCACAGGACAATGCCTAATATCATCATTGTACACTCTGCAAAAGTCTTACTCCACTGTGGAGAACTGTTTGAAACCTGTACAGAAATGAACTGTAAAATTATAATGGGGTAAATAATTACTTGTAGAATTTAAAGTAACTTTTTTTAATTATATCTGTTAGAACTCCTGCTTTGAAAGTTGTTGCAAAAGAAAGAGTAGAAAATGGAACATTTATTTTACAAGAAGTGGAATTTTCATGTGTTGTGTAATTTGAACTTAAATTCTCTGACTAGCGGTGTACATATTTAACTGAGAAGCACATAGAAAGGAGGTAGTCTGTATAAATAGTAGGAGTATCTAAAGAGACTGGGACTTGGATTGTTGTATTGCAGGTTGGCTACTTTCAAGATAAAACATCCTGTATTAATTGGGTTCCCAGCCAAAGATATTTTACAAGTGGTTTTATTTGGCTGAGGAATTTGACATGAACAAAAGGAAGCTATAAATCACAACATCTTAGAAGTTATTGTTTTCAACTCACACTTTTATCAAGTTGAAAAATATTCATCAATATGACCATTGAAGAAATCTTTTAAAAGACATTGTTATTTTACTGAACTGTAGCTTACTGTACATAGTAAGAAATTGCCATGAGTGATTCTGTGTGTGTGTGTATGTGTGTAAGAGAGTGTGTGAGAGAGAGAGAGTTAGAGACACAGCGACAGAGTGAGTGAGAGAACAAGACAGAGACAACTAATTTCTGTGGTTGTACAAAATGTGGTTTCCTGGAAAAAGCAACTGAATGTAGGAAAATGATGATGCTGCCACACTAGACAAAGGGAACAGTAGTAATGCCGAGCACGAACTTCAAGCACGCTTTTCTTTCTTAAACCCATTCATTTTTTGCATGTATCTCAACTGTGTTAACCCAAAGCATCTTATAACTTTATTAGAGTAACATTATGCCAAATTCCTACCAGCCTAACCAATTTGAATGTCTCCTGGAGCTGTTTTGTAGGAATGTTAAAACTGAAACGTGCACCTGTCTTCCCTGCAACTGCATTCAGATTTCCAGTGGTTGTTGCTGTTGCGTTTGTTTATTGAAGGTGTGAAGGTTGAAGATGGATTTAATCCAAAACCATTGACTCAGTTTTAATGAGAACTGTTAGAACAGAACAAAGAAAATAAAATAATTTGCAAAAACATACTTGAAGTTTTTTTATCTTTATGATCTGTGTCTCTGTCATGTGAATTTTGGGATCTGAAAGCAGGGCAAGCTGAATGTGATCAGAAACCTATTTTTATTCTTCTGATTACATGGCTAATGTCCGTACTGTGCATCTAATTAACTAGTTCCCCACATCATCTCAGCAAAACATCTGTATACCCTGCAACTAGAAATCTAACTAACCAATCATAGCAAAAGTTATTCTGTCATAATGTTAATGCTAGAATGTTACACCTCCTCTCACAGATTTTTGGAAGTCCCTGAGAATTCCTTCAAAACTCCTTTGGTATTGGATCCTTAGGACGTGGTCGTTTTGTTAAAATTTTATCTCGCTCTTAACTCTTGCCACCATCTTACCATGATTGCAAGGCCAGATCTGTTTTATGGTGTCTCCCACAGATCTGGATTGGAGTCTCCGCTTTTCTCGTATGTTACTGACTTAGACTGCAGAATAGAGGGCCATATATCCAAGCTGGTAATGACACTCAGTAACACAATTAATATAGACGGGAGCAAAAAACTGCAAAAAGACATTGATAGATCAAGTGAGTGAGCAAAACTGTGACATTAAATTCAATGTTGAGGAGAATAAAGTCAGCATCTAAGAAAGATTGATCGGAATATGAGAAATTAGGGAATGTGGAAGAGCAGATTTTGGGATCTCAGTTGGCCATTTAAGTTTAAAATAATTTAAAAGATTAATAAAAATGGGCATTTAGTTCAAGGGTTACAATACAACAGAGCGTACTTCATTGTTAAGAGTTGGACTCTGAACAGTTGCTGCACCGATTCGTTAAACTGTTATCAGTAGGATGGAACAGTGCAGCTAGAGAACATAGTTGCTACCAAAATCCCCAAAGTCTGAGTACAGATTTCTTGGTTTGCTGAGGCAAAAATGGCCAGGATTTGAGAACTGAGTCTCAAATGAGGCTCTCAGGAGATTACAGCAAAGGTTCACTGAATTGATCTCGGGCATAAAGGGTTACATGACAAGGAAAGGTTGTATCAAGTGGGCTTGTATTCGCTTGCTTACAGAAGATTATAGGATGATCTAATTGCGGTGAGAAAAGCATGAGTGTGAGACACTGCTTAGAACGAGTAACAAGTACTCAGGAATTTCATATCGGCAGGATATCTCAAGATTTTCTCAATGCAATTTACATGAACAGTCAGCCTCTAACTTAGAATGTCAAAACTACAAGTTAAAAAACCTAGTTTGAGAAACTGCCTGGCAGTGGCATTTATCAGTCATATGAACTGCAAGTGATTGCCTGAATAGGTGCTAAATTAATGTAATAGAATGCTAACTTAGCAGTTGCAACTTGGTGGCGGCCTATCAAACCGGTCTCAAGTATAAAGATTCTGTGACTATACAGAATGAGACAAGGTCTGAAAGTGATAAGTAGTAGTGTCAGGTTGGGAATTTGGTACAGATGGAGCTACAGTGCAGATCAGAAAAGAGGTGCTCCATTTTATACCTTATTACAGCCATCCATACTTGGTGAATGTTCTTTTGTCTCCAAACTAGTAAACTTTTTAAATAAATATTATGTTAGACAGATATGGCAAGGATTGCGGGTGCTGTGACTGCACCATGTGGGACTCTGTAGAATGTATCGCAGTTCCAGACAACAACATCTGTGCCAAGTGTCTGCAGCATAAATAAACCTGGCTCCGAACTGCTGAGCTGGAGTCTGAGTTGCAAGCATTGCAGAGAGTCCGGGTGTTGCAGTGTGATGGGAAGGTCACCTGGGAATGTTTATGGCTTCCCAAATAATAGGAACAGGAGAAGACCATTTCCTTTTTGAGCCTGCTCCAAGATTTAGCACTTGCCTGCATCATCTCTATATCCCTTTTCCCTTAGTATCTAAATTCCACAGATTTAAGACCCTATCACTTGAGAAATCCTTCATTAATTCAGTTATCTCCTATTCTGCACTGTACCCTAAGTTCCAGATTCCCTAACCAGACAAAACATTTTCTTAAACATTAAGAATTTTGTGTTTTGGGGAGAAAGACAAGGAAAATTTCATTGTTTAAAAAGTTGCAGAAATTTGATCAAGTCTTCCCCATCCCCCCTCAAACTGAGCTTAATGTTGGGTAAAAGTATTAAGGATTTCAGAACCAGACAGGTAAACAGTTTTCGGATGTATACCTGCTCAAATGATCACAACTGAAAGGTGAAATCCATCTGGCAGCATCTGTAGAGAGAAATCAGAGTTAATGTTTTGGGTCCAAAGACCCTTCTTCAAAACAGTTCTGAAGAAGGATCACTGGACCCAAAACATTAACTCTGATTTCTGTCCACAGATGCTGCCAGATCTGAGTTTTTCTAGCAATTTCTAAGTTTTGATTTCCAGAATCCGCAATTCTTTTTGTTTTGTGAAATCCATCTGATGGGCTGAGACACCTATTTCTGTTTGAGAGTTTATCCATTCTCAAGCTGCAGCATTGTCATAAATCATGAGATCCTTTTGGACTACCAGTTCAATGGTTTGAAGCTGCCTGCATATTCATGGTTTTATTTAAACGTAAGTGAGATTCAATACACTGTATTTGAGAAGTTGTTTTCATATATACCAGCATAAAGGTCAATCTCGTGTAAATTAGGCTAAAATAAGGCAGTGTGGAAATTTCCCATTATCAGTTGGTACTGAGAGAGATGCACAGTGCCCAATCTGCCGTGCCCATACAATCTGCCACTCTTCACCTAACTCATATTGCAAGCAGGCTCTCGATTGCCTTTCTTATGGAATTGTGTGGCAGGAGGGATGCAAGTGCTTGCCATTGCCAGGACATTCCAGCATTCATGCTGCTGGCATTATATGTAAAGTTCAGCTGAACACCATGTCAGATTTTGTAAGCCACATCTTTATCATGATTGACTATTAGGCATGGATGAAAGCTTGAATCCTGCTTCATCAAACGGGTTCTGAAGATGATGGTGGACAGGATGGGGGATAAGAGGGCCACCCATTTTTTTTTCTGCGAACTGCCACATGAAGCCATGCCACCAAGACCATTGAGCCAAATAACATTCCCAGTCAGTGCTACGTCCTGGTCAGAAGGGTTGCACAGCAATGCAGGAAGAAGGTCTTTTGCACTTAGCAAATTTAAGTGGCACCATCTTCTCTCTGTTACTTCACACCCACATCGCCACCAGTCACTTCAACTATGCCACTACATACACATCTCACTAAATCTCATCGACTATATCTCTCATACATAACAGGTCCATTCAAAGGCACTCCCCCGCTTCATCCTCCCAAACTATTCCTACCCTCTTCACATCCTACATATTCACCTCAGCATGTCTCTTACTAATGCATCATGACTAACTGCTCTTTCATCCATTCGATCATACTCAATCCCTCCTTTTTTCTCATTGCAAGAGAAATTGGTCCATAATCAGGCTGAGGCGATTAAGACTGGTGGCAGAGGCAGGGGGTGGAGATATAAGGATCCTCACTGTGAACAAGGAAAAGAGCAAGCCTTCAGGGATGAATTAGAACACCTCACTGGGAGCTTGGCAGAAAGACGCAGTGACAGACCTTTAAGGAATCCTTTCACAATACACAGAACAGATATATCTAAACTGTTTAAGAAAAAAAAAAAGCCAAGGAAGGAATGAACCATTCCTTAACTTGAAAGATTAAAGATAGTATCAAACTTGAAGGAAAAGCATATAATTGTGCAAAGACAAGTGGCAGGTCATTGATGAATTTAAAAAAAAGGTTAAAAAATTATCTTCAAAAAACTATAAGAAGGTATCAAATTCTATGCTGTAAATTATGTAGCCATCCTGATAAATCCCTCTTTTCAAAAACTGTTCTTTCTCCTTGCCCTCCAATGTTTTTAAAGTCACAAAAATAAAAAGGCAGGATCCTTACAGTTATTAAAGATGTTATAGCAGGTCATTTGGATAAGTTCATGGTAATCAGGTCAAATCAAGATGGTTTTGTGAAAAGGAAATCATGTCTGACCAATCTATTGGATAATAATCTATTATTCTTTGAAGAAGTAATGTGTGATACAGTGATAAAGGGGAGTTAATGAATGTACTGTACTTAGACTACTAGAGGCAATTGGTAAGGTGCCACATCAATGCTTATTGCGGGAATAAAAGCTCATGGTGTAGGGGAAGCATACTGGCGGGGATAGAAGATTGGCTGCCTAACAGGGAAACAATAGGAATAAATAAGCCTTTTCCAGATTGGCAAAATGTAATGAATGGTGTGCCACAGAGATGAGTTCTTGGAATGCAACTTTTTATAATTTATAAAAAATGACTTGGACGAAGGGATAGAATCTATAGTTGCCAAATATGCTGAAGACACAGACTGGTATGAAGTAAATTGTGGAAAGAACATAAGGAGGCTACAAAAATGCTTGGATAGTTTAAGTGAGTGGGCAAAGATTTATCAAATGGAGTATTATGTGGGAAAATGTGTAATTGGCTAATTTGATAGGAAGAATAAAATAGAAATATATTACCTAAATGATGAAAATTGCAGACAATTGAAATGAAGAGGGATCTGAGTGTCCTTGTGCCTGAATTGCAAAAGGGCTGTATTAGGAAAGCTATAGAATGTTTTAATTTATTGAGAGGAATTGAATGTAAAAGTAGGGAGGTTGTGCTTCATGACATTGAGACCACATATGGAGTACTGTGTACAGTACTGGTCACCTACTTTAAGGAAGGATGTAAATGCATTGTAAGTAGTTCACAGAAGGTGTACTAGACTAAAACCTGGAATAGTGAGGGTGGGATTGTCTTATGGGGAAAGGTTGTATAGGCTAGGTTTGTTTCTGCTGAAGTTTAGAAGAGTAGGAGCTGACTTGATTGAAACATCTAAAATCTCAAGGAGTTTTCACAGGGTGGATGTGAAGATGATGTTTCCTTTTCTAGAAGAACCTAGGAGTTAACATTTAAAAATAAAGAGTCATTAAAAAAGAAATGAGGCATTTTCTCTCAAAGATTTGCGACTCTTCAGACTGTCTTCCTGAAAAGGTGGCAGGGCAAAGTCTTTGAATATATTTTTAAGACAGAGATTGATAAATTCTTGATAAGCAAGGGGGTGAAAGATTATCAGCATACACTGGAATGTGGATTTGAGGTTGACCATGATCTTATTGAAAGATAGAACAGGATCAAGGGGCTGAATGGCCTACCCTGCTCTATGTTTGTATGGCGAACTATAGGTTTCACTGTGCTGTGCTACTTTGCTCTCTGATTAACACCAGTTCTAAATCATTCATAATCTGTACAAGTTTTCATTCCTGTTGGGACAACTAATTATCTATCTTCGCTTGTACAAGTACTAGTAGCATCTAGAAGAGGCCATCTCAGAGGAGGAAGCCACTGAACCCCCACATTCCAACATTTTAGAGATTTGCCCCTCATTGGATATTACTTCTAGATTAGACTCAGGAGCAGAATGCATTAAGCACATCACTGAAATGTCTCCTCAGCTGATCAAGGAAGAAATGCCCCAGGTCTCTGACACTCCTCTGAGTCCAGTCCTGTTTAGCCTCAGACAGAAGATGATCCCATGGTCTTTGCCATTAATGACTGTCAAAATACACAGACAGATATAGGAATAGTAGGGAGTTTTGTCAGAGGCACTTAGTAAGCTGCACCAAAAGGTGGAGGAGTACACCAACAGTATCAGCATCATACTGGTTCTGGCATGCATGAATCTGACTGACCATATTATAATGAATTATGGGTTAGTGTGCTGGAAATCAAGCCCCACTATTCCCAGAGTCATTACAAATGTGAAAATGCAATTAAATCACCCGAGTGCCCATTTCTACCTATCTAATTCAGGTTAGAAGAATATGCCAGAGGTTTTACATTGCAATAAATTGTTATTTTCTTCTTAATCAGACATTTAACCAATGGCAAAAGTTAGACAGGACGAATGGCTAATCTATAACTGCATCACTTAAATTTTACCACATTTTAAAAATTCCTATTCAAACATACAGACAGACACACAAAGACAGACATGAATATTGAAGGTAGACAGAAAAGAAATCGGAAACAGTTCGATAGCACTAGTTTGGATCACAGACGTTTACAAGTAATTTTCATTGGATTCCTTCTGAATTTTTGCTGATGACACAAGATTGTGGGTATAACAATTCTCACTTTTTAATTCACTGATTAAGAAATTGCCCCATCATTGTCTTTGAAGGTGGTGGTCCCTTTTCCCTTTTAGCAGGGGATCTGCAGCGAGAGCAGTTGACAGAGGCAAGGTGAGAGAGAGCAGCTGGCTACTAAGTATTTTCTTTTACTTCTCCACACACTAGGCAGAGAAAGGGAAATGGTTGCTTTCCTTTCACAAGATAGATGTGTCTGGTGTATTGTTCTTACACAAGACTCTAAACCCTTGCACGCAGGATCTAATAACGAGGTTGTTACTATTCTGGGCTGTCTTGCACCTACAACAACTGACGCCAATTGAAAAGTCAATAAAAGATTGTTTCTGGGCAGAATCACTCCAATAAAGCAACATTGTATATACAACTCATTAAGTCTTCCAGCAATTTGATTTTAAACCTACTAGCATCACTTAGACAATCACCTTTGTTTAAAGCATTACTTTTTCCAATTTTAAGTCCACAGGCCAAAAAAATATGGCCTTTACAAGATGGACAGGTGCAACCACCTTGGAGACCCAGATACAACACATTAAGTGTCTCCCTTAACCTCATTCCTTTCAGAGTCAGGGTGTTGCCAGTCGGCACCCTTAAAGAAGCAAAACACAGGACTCCTTGGAAGATTATCAGGATACTCCAGAGATCCCTGCCTCCTTTATTACCCAATCCTCAACCAGTAAGTGCAAAGCTTGCTTTCAAGTGACTACATGTTGGCAGGACACTCTCAGCAGGCCTAGGCCATCTAGGCCCAAAAGTATTGAGGAATGACCAGGCTAGGAGGGCTAATTACAAAACAGACACAGAAAATGTTGAAGGAACTCAGCAGGTCTGGCAGCATCTGTGGAGAAAGAAACAGAGTTAATGTTTTGAATCTGGTAATGACTTTCTTCAGTCCCGGTTAACTCAATTGGCTGGACTGCTGGTTGGTGATGTGAAGTCAACAGGGCAGTTCAATTTCCACACTAGCTGTGGTCACCATGTAGGTCCTGCCTTCTCACCTCACTCCTTGTTTGAGACCTGGTGACTCTCAGGTTAAACTCACCACCAGTTACCTTTCTGTAATGAGAGAGCAGCCCTATGGTCTCTGGGACTATAGCTACTATTACTATGATTTGTATTTGGCCTCCATTTTAAAAGATACAAGATGAGTCAGACCAGTTTGTCTAATTTCACCAGTCTTACTGATTTTCCTCTGGGAGGGAGGAAACCTAAAAATAGTGGATGAAATCTGATTTTAGGAAGTGAATTTTTTACAACCCTGGGAATCAAACATTGCACTCAGTAGTTCCACCATTGACTACTTCATGGTGGAGTTGGGGTTTGAAATGGGGAACATTTCAGACCCTAAGTGACTTTCCTTGAATGGGAGATAACAAGGTGTAGAGCTGGATGAACACAGCAGGCCAAGCAGC